TTGAAGACCTCCAATTTTTATAAGTAATTTGAGTCACATTTTACTATGATCATTCTCTGGTTGACTGGTGAATCACCAATTAATAGCATTTTCTAAATACTAATAACATAATTAAATATTTGCTTTTCATCAGATTATGGCAATAGCTAGAATTTTACCAGCATCTTTGTTTGTTAGTACAAATGAAGGCAACAACACCTCTTGACGAAGACTTATAAAGAATTTTTCAAGAGCTTCTTCATGAGAAACTATACTATCTTCTAGATAACTTGCTACTTATAAAGAATTTTTCAAGAGCTTCTTCATGAGAAACTATACCATCTTCTAGATAACTTGCTACTTCAAGATTACTTAATACTAGTAAATATAAATATACTAGCGGCATACCATACTTACAACAGTTTGTATTTATAACAAAAAGTTCAAATCTTTTCTGATTTGTTTTGAATATAAAATCTATCACAATTTCAGTTATATTTTCTACACCAATTTGATTAAATAATGAAGTAGTAAATTTTAAAGCTCTTACAAAATTATTGTTATAATAAATTAGAATTTTGAACCCTCTATTCACAATTTCTGCCGTTCAAAATACATTTTAGATAATAAAAATGGATCTTGATTTGTAATATATTTTTTTTTATTATACACTGATGACCAATAATAAACCAGTTCTTTTGTATATATTAAACTAATTAGTTTATTCTCAATAAAATATCTATATAGATCTGAACTTCAAAAATTATAATTAAGATATGTCTGAATCCATTGTTTCACCTCTTCTGGGAATTCTGCTTTCTGATATAAGAGACGTTCATATAAACACAAATATTCATATTGTATACTTGTATATTGTAATTGGGAGTTTATATTAATTATAATATTGCCTTTGCAGAGAAACTGTTATATTGCAGTATGAGCTTCACTCTGTCTTTTAATCTCTTGATTATTTGATTTTTGCCGACCTCTATCTTCATATGAAGTATATTGGATATATGCTTTTGCATATTTTACTAATTTTTGCTTTTTAAAATTTAACTGCAATTTTCATAGTTCCTAATAATATCCAAATCCAGATTCCAATAGCAAAATAAAAATCTTAACAAGTTGTACAAAGCTATTTTTGATAGCTTCCAAGTCTAATGAATCAGTTTCAAAATCTTGATTAATTGTAATGATATCTAAAAGTTTCGAATCTAGCTCAATTTCGAATATAAACTTTGTAATCCCTTCAGACAACTCAGTATCCTGAAACTGCATAGTGATGAAGTTTTCTACTTCATCTATAGAGTATAAAAGTGTATCCTCATCATCATCTGATTCATCACTAAGCATAGCGGTAGTGTATTCTATTTTTTCTATTTGTATTGTGTTTGCAGATTCATTATCAAAAAAACTAATTTCTTGTATTGGCTCAAAATTATTATAGCCTTTAGTTTTATTATTAGCTTGAAAAATATTTAAAGCATTGCTAGCTTGAGAAGTTGAAGCACTAGCAATTGGAACTATTAAGTTAAAATTATGATCTGTTTTTGTTTTTTTTTTTGAAATTAAAATTTTTTCTTGTCTTTTTTGACTGCGATTTACAGAACACATATTATAGGTCAAATGTTCATGCTGTGGATTATTACTATGAGGATAGCAAAAATCTTGTTTTTTCTTTTTTACATGACAATAATCGCATTTTTTTTCATTTGAGATTTGAGTAGAGGCTGTCAAATCACTCATTTTATTTTAATAAAAATATTGTTTGAATGGGTAATCGAACAAGTATTAATTGTTTAGATTTTTTAATTCAAATCGAATTTTAAATTTTATTTAAAATCAAAGATGCCACTTAAATACATTTTCAACTTATACTTTTTGCTACAATTTATAATTGTCTTTTTTTTTAATTTTTATTTTGTGGTTTAAAAACACTTGTATTTTTCGGTTGACTTTAATTATTATGCTCTTTGGCCGACTTGAAACTTTGAGTATATGCAATATTAAGGTTGCCTGCAGTAATAGGTTTTCCAAAGTTGAAAGGTTGCAACTTTTTATGCTAGAAGTTGTAATTTTTGCCATAATAAGTGTAATAACTATAATCGATGTAACAGTTATATTTTGTGTAACAGTTGTAATGAGTGTAATGGTTGTAATAGGTGCAATAGTCGTAATTGGTATAACAGATCTATATTAATTCGTTATTCCTGATTACTAATTAAAGCAATAATTGATGTTTTAAAATACTTATAACTATAACTTGTATTAATATTTTATTTTAATAAATACATTGTGAAGGTTAAACTTACC